ATGCAAAACTCTTTTAGAATGGTGAAGTTAGTGGGAGTGTTGAACGAAAAAGTGTGGAAATTAATGAGGTAAAGGGTAAATATTCCATTACCCATGAATGTACGTACTTCCACACCAGTTACAAATGTTGTTCCTCTCATTGAAAAACACTTTAACAATGTTGAACAACAGTTGGGTGAAACACTTCAAGAAGGAACTAACTCACAAGTATCTGACGCAAATAAACCACAAACAGTGACATTAAGAAAATCTTAAAGAGAAAGAAAATCAGTCATTTCAGGAGATTATGTGATTTATTTGCAAGAGTCAGATTTTGAAATTGGAATTAATAAAGATCCGATTTCATTTTCACAGGTCATAGAAAGCAATAAGTCTGATAAATGGATTGATGCCATGAATAAAGAGTTAAAATCCATAGAATACAACAAACTTTTGTCTGGGATCTCGTTCAATTACTAGAAAGTTCTAAAAGAATCGGGTGTAGATGGATCTTCAAAACCAAACATGATTCAAATGGTAATATTTAACTATATAAAGCCAGACTTGTTTCCAAGGGATACACTCAGAAAGGAGGCATTGATTATAAAGAGAAATTTTCACCGGTCTCAAAGAAAGACTCATTAAGAATTGTTTTAGCTTTCGTAGCTCAATATGATTTAGAGTTACATCAAATGGATGTGAAAACTATCTTTCTTAATGGAGACCTCAAGGAGGATGTTTATATGGACCAACTAGAGGGTTTCAAAATTAAAGGAAAAGATCAAATGGTGTGTACGCTAAAGAAGTCAATATATGGATTCAAACAAACCTCACGACAATGGTATATAAAGTTTTATGATACCATAACATCTTTTGGATTTAAGGAGATTACCGTTGATCGGTGTATTTACCAAAAGATCAGTGGGAGTAAGTTTATATTTTTATTCATGTATGTTGATGACATTTTACTTGTTGCTAATGATTTATGCATATTGCGTGAGAAGAAAGACTTTCTCTCTATGAACTTTAAAATGAAAGATATGGGTGAGGCATCCTATGTGATAGGAATAGAAATATTTTGTGATATATCACAAGAATTATTGGGACTGTCTCATAAAGGCTATATCAAAAGAGTTCTAGGGAGATTTAACATGGACAATTATTCAGCAGGAATAGTTCCTATTCAAAAAGGGGACAAATTTAATCTCATACAATTCCCAAAGAATGATGTAGAATGAAAAGAAATAGAAACAATTCCTTACTCTTCTATTGTTGGAAGTTTGATGTATGTTCAAACTTGCACAAGACCGGATATTAGTTTTGTGGTTGTAATGCTAGGAATATATCAAAGTAACCCTGGAATTGATCATTGGAACGCTGCAAAGAAAATCTTTAAGGTACCTAAAAGGAACGAAAGATTACATGTTCATGTATAGGAGTTCCAATCACTTAAAAGTTACTAGATACTCAGATTCAAATTTTGCTGGATGTGTTGGCACTAGAAAGTCCACGTTTGGTTACTTTTTCCTATTAGCTGAAGGAGCAATATCGTGGAAGAGTGCTAAAAAATCTGTCATTTCTACATCCACAATATAAGCTAAATTTGTGGCATGTTATGAAGCCACAATTCATGCATTATAGCTGCAGAACTTTATTTCAGGACTTGGGGTTGTCGACACCATTACCAAGCCGTTGAAAATTTATTGATAATACTGCAACAATATTATTTTCCAAGAATGATAAGTACTCCAAAGGTGCCAAACATATGAAATTAAAGTACTTTACTGTCAAGGAAAGAGTTCAGAAATAAAGAGTGTTACTTGAGAATATTAGAACTGATCTCATGATTGCACATCTGTTAACAAAAGGCTTACAACCAAAGACATTTAAAGAACATGTTCAAAGAATGGGTCTTGGTTGTACTTATGACTAATATATGGCAAAAAGGATAAATATACCCCGAACTATTATAAATGGTATGCAGATACCCCCCGTCATACTTTTAGGACATTGGTGCCTCTATCGTCCAAAAACTAGAGCATATATACCATGTATACTAACGGACATACACGTTTCATAATTTTATCCATTGACCCGACATTTATTAAATATCGAATCGATGGATAAAATTATGCCACATGTCCCTATTTAGTCTTCCGTTAGAGTGAAGGGCATATATGCTCTAGTTTTTAGACGGCAGGGGCACCAATGTCCCAAAAGTATGACGGAGGGTATCTGCATACTATTTACTATAGTTCAGGGGTATATTTCTCTTTTTTCTCCTTGATATATTCATGATGTTTTTACACTTTGAGCTCAATTATGTGTTTCTGATATACATTAATGAATTTATTGTTTCTCGTAATGATGTATACATTGTTGTTTTGAGATATTACAAGATAAGTCTCTATGAGACATTATTGTCGGCCGTAATGTTATATGTTTGATAGCTTATGAACCTAGTATGATAAGTTTCTAATATAGTAGTATATGGAAGAAAGTATGTAGCTTAAATTTTATGTACAACCGCCATAACTCGAATTAGTAGTTTGTTAGATTGTGGAATGTAGATGGACATTATAGAAGAGATTTATTGTATGCGCAATTAATGTTTATGAAATATTAATGTTATATGGTCATTGGGCCAAGTGGGAGAATGTAAGAATAATTCTTACTTATGGCCCAAGTTTACTTGTGATCTAAGTAATACCATAAATAATATTTAATGAAGAATAGATCTCGTTTGTACATTGGTTACTTGATGGATGTATCAGATTAAGTCATAACCTCTATAAATTGGTCTCCCTTCCCCCATTAGGGTTACCACATATTTTCTACATTAATTTCATCGTTGACGGCTGTGGTAACGTAAGGCTGGGGCAAGGAAGTAGAAACCAATTTACGACTAACGCTTCCGCTTTTATTTGTGATGATTTCTTCGGCATCATCACAGAGAAACGCGGAAGTGGTAGTCGTAAATTGGTTTCTACCTCCTTGCCCTAGCCTTACGTTACCACAGTCGTCAACGGTGGAATTAACGTAGAAAATATATGGTAACCTTAATGGGTGGAGGCATGACCAATTTATAGAGGTTATGACTTAATCCGGTAAGTCAATCAAGTAACCAATGTACGAACGAGATCTATTCTTCATCAAATAATAGTTATGATATTATTTGGATCACAAGTAAACCTGAGCCACAAGTAAACTTGGACCATAAGTAAGAATTATTCTTACAGATACTTCTATGGTTCCTCTTCTCTTGGCTCAGTAGGTTCTAATTGCTTCTCTTGTAGATCAGGAGAATCTACTTTTATTGTTATATCTTTGTCATTTTCACCCTTTCCTCCTTTGACTTAATGTGAGTGTTTTATCTCCTCAATAATAACAATACTCAATTGTTCTTTATGTGTGTTATCAGTTTCTCCTTCCTCCATTTTTCTCTCTTCTACTCTAACTTCCCATTTATTAGAGGCACTATTATCTGGGTTTTGTTGAGAATTTATGTTTTTCAAATACCTCATTCACCCAAGTTTTGTCTACTTTGTCAAGAATATCCCCATTTGAGTTCTTATAAGAATTAATTTTCCTTTGAGACCCTAATATTTATATTAACATTTGACCTATATTAAGCCACTACATTTTGATTTTTGTTTGTAAAACGGTCTCTTCTGTTTGAGTTGAAGCATCAAATTTTCTTTGAGCATCCACATCATTGCCATCTCTTGTGTTATTTTTCTCCTGCACATTATTATTATACCTTTATTGTTCATACCAGTCTTTCAATTACTAAGATTCCATACCACTTTACCACTATATAGATTTATTGTTGGATAATGTTTTGAAGGTACACTTTATGTTATTGTGATTCATTCTTATTCACTTTCTTATCCTCTTCATCTTTCTCTACTTTCGGTAGTGCCAACTCAAAATGTAATATGCGACATACATCATTGGCATGCCCTTGTATTTTACACTATACAATACTTTGATAGAAAATTATATTGAAACCTCGCCTTTTCATTTCTAGTGGTATATATGTGAGCTCATTTTCTATCTTCATGCATGTTCACATGTTATGAAAAAGCAGAGAGCAAATTAACCTAAACTTTTACTCTCACATAAATATGTCTCGTCTTATTGACAATTGTCATGTCTAGTGTAAAGGTTTTCCAATTGCAAACGCAAGTGTGAACAAAGCCTCTTTCACGTAGAAAGTGATTAGTAGATTTGGGAAAGAGATCTGAGTCAAAGTTTGTGTCATTTCTACATAGATTCTAAAGTTCGCATCAAATAAGCACATTCATCCTTAGGTTTCAAGTAGTACAAAGTTCGGGACATGACATTGATAAAGTGTTTTTAACAGTAAAGCCTATTAGAACAATCACCTTCCAAGCCACATTCTTTAGGAATAATTATTCTTATTTCATCCGGGATAGGCCAACTGTCAAAAACTCAAGCTTAGACCTCCATTGATGAACAAAGATGAGCTCCCATTGAAACTTGAGGGAAAAAGAAAAGAACGATGAATATGAAAAAAAAATATCTTCTCTGTATTGTTAAAAGTTGGTTTTACAACTGTGTGGGCCAACACCTCTTTATACAAAAACGTAACTAACTAAACCAACTCCTTAATCATGTACAACTGTCAATGCTAACCACTAACTCTAACTACTTTAATTAATTTAGCCATTGTCAACACCCCCCTCAAGTTGGAGGGGAAGAATCCACTGTCAACTTATCCAGTAGTGCACTATGCTTGATCCATGTTAAGGATTTAGTAAACATATCGGCCAGTTTTTCATGAGTTGAGACATGGTGAAACTGATGATTCCACCTTGTAGGTTATTTCTCACAAAATGGTAGTCCACCTCTATATCTTTATTACGTTCATGAAAAATAGGATTTCTAGCTATATGAATTGTTGCTTGACTGTCACAGTACACAGGAGTGGGATTAGTGCAGGGAACATCAAATTATGTCAAGATTCTTCTTAGCCAAGTCACTTCCCCAACCACCATTCAGATGGACCTGTATTCAGCTTCAACAGATGAAAAAGATATTGTAGCTTGCTTCTTTGATTTCCAACTAATTGGACTATCACCAAGCATGACAATATAACCACTAACTGATCTTATGGAATCAGGACAAGAAGACCAGTCTGAGTCACAGTATGATTTAAGAACAAATATGGGATCTCTGGACATGAAAATCCCCATAGTAGGATCATTCTTCAAAAACCTCAACACATATATTTCACCCTTGAGATGAGGTTCTCTAGGAGCTTGCATATATTGGCTTAAATGTTGAACATTGTATGCTATATCCATTCTGGTGTTGGTGAGGAAGTTAAGTTTCCCCACCAACTTCCTATAATAAGTAGGATCATTGAGAAGGGCTCCTTCATATGAACAACTTTAGATTGCATTCCAAAGGAGCAGCTACTGGTGTATATGACAGGCAATCAAACTCGTTCAGCAACTATGTGGTGAACTTTCTCTGAGAGATTATGACATCATTTGTCTTATAAAGCAACTCAAAACCAAGGAAATAGTGTAGTTGTCCTAGATCATTAATCTTGAAAACATCATGTAAAACTGATTTAAGTTGTTGATCTCACTCAATTCTATTCATGTGATCACTATATTATCTACATATACTGCCAGAAAAATTAAAGAACCACCAAACTTTTTGTAGAAGAGTGAATAGTCTTCAACTAAGTGTGAAAATCCTCTTGACTCTAGTGCCTGTTGGAGTTTATCATACCATTGACATATAAGGATTTCCTAAGTTTGCAAACCAAATGTAAAGTGTTTGTATCAAACCCTTGAGGAGCATTGTTAACATCTAATTGATTAAGCTTTCTCATTCAAATCTCCATATAAGAATGAATTGTTAACATCTAATTGATAAAGCTTCCACCCCCTCTTGACAGCCACACTAATCAGTGTTCTAACCGTGGTCATTTTAACCACTGGTGAGAATGTCACAGTGTAATCAACTGTTGTTTGTTGAGTGTATCTTTTCACCACCAATATTGCCTTGAACCTTTCTATGGACCCATCGGCTTTGTGTTTGATCTTGTAGACCCATCTACATCCTATTGATTTCTTTCTTGGAGGTAAAAGAACTAAATCCCAAGTGTGATTAGCATTTAAAGCCTCAAACTCATGTGTCATGGCTGCTAGCCAAACAGGATTCATAGTTGCTTCCTCATAGGAATCAGGTTCTTTATCAAGAGAAATATTTTGCATGACCTGCTGACTTTTCAGATCCAAACAAGTGAGAGAAAATTGTTTGGTTTTGGTCAAGGTTGCATTCAACGAGGTAGAGGGTGCCTGGGTGTGGTCTTTCAACGAAAGAAGAGAGTAAACAAATTCTTTCAAGTGATGGGGTGTAACATAGGTCCTAGAAGATCTCCTAGGTGCTGGTATGGCTACATCAGAATTGCACATAGGTCTTGGTTGCATATTAATGTCAGGTGAGGTGTTTTGAGTGGTGTCAGGTCAGATGTTAGGTGTATCATTTGGTATGCATGGATAAATAGGTTCTGCAACATTGAAGGGTGATGTGTTCAATTTGTGTTTGCCTTGCATTGATAGTGTTATTTTCAGAAAACATAAAAGAAGACTCAGAATTCACATATGTTAGTACAGTGGGAAAACAAGAATGAATTGGTAAAGACACAAAGGGAAAAACATTTTCACAAAATTGAACATCTCAAGAGACATGTATCTTTCTAGTGGCTAAGCCAAGGACTTTGTATCCTTTTGTTCTAAAGGGGTACCCTATGAATATGTGAGGTTGTGTTCTAGGCTCAAACTTATCTTTGTAAGTTTTGAGGATGGTAGGATAACACAAACATCCAAACCTCTAAGGTGGGAATAGTTTGGTTCTTTTAGTGGAGGAGTTCATATGGACATTTGCCCTTGAGAGAAACAGAAAGTAACATGTTGATCAGGTATATGGTTGTTAGTAGGCACTCTCCCAAATATCTTATGGGAAGTTTGGACTGATATACAAGTACTCTTGCTGTTTCTAGAAGGTATTTATGTTTTCTTTCTACCACACCATTTTGTTGTGGTGTGTAGGGACATGACCTTTGATGTATAATTCCTTTGGATTGTTAAAAAGTTGTGGCTTCATTGTTGGTGAATTCTAGGTCATTATCAGATCTTATTGTCTTGATGGAAGTTTGAAACTGATCTTCTATCATATGAACAAAAAGCCTTTAGTATTTGTAAGGTGTTAGCTTTGCAGCTCATCAAGTGTGTCCAAGTGGACCTGGTATAGTCATATACTATGGTTACAAAGTACTTGTAATTGTTGTATGTACTTACATGGTATGGTCCCCAAATGTCTATATGTAAGAGGTCAAAAGGTTTGTTGGTGTATGTTTGGGATTGTTGTGGAAATGAGGACCTGTTTTGTCTTGCCATGGGGCAAATATGACACAGGAAAGGTTGTTTAGTGGAAAATTGAAGTGGGATAGATGATATCCCCTCATCTTCACAAAAGGAACATGTCCTAGCCTATTGTACCACAGAGAATCCACACACTTACTAGAAGATGAACAATTAGTAGATGAAGATTTATGAGATGAACAAGCCTTTTTATTATGTGAAGAACAAACATTTACATAAGGAATAAGGGATGGGGAATGAGCCTGTGAAACAGAAATATCACACAATGCATCAGATTCAGAAATATCACACACATCGTTAGGCTTGCAACTGTTCATAAAGGATGAAGAAGTAGCAGTAAGAGAAATAAAAGGTGAACAGTAAGACTCAGAGGATTGGTATTTTGTGCAGAGAAAATACAATATATTCCTTTCTCTACCAATCTCCAGAGGCCTCTTCAATGAAGGGGCCTGCAAGACACATGAAGAGGCAGAGAAATTAACATCAGATTTGAGTGTGTGCATAATAAGGGAATGTATAGAGATGATATTGAACTTGAAACTGGGAGCAAACAACACTTTATGCAATGTTAAAGTTGGACTGAGAACAACATCACATATTTCTGTTACTTTCACTCTATTTCCATTTGGTAGAGAGACTAAGAAAGGATAAGATAAGGTCTTAATGTTGGTAAACATCTTTTTTTTATATGACATATGGTTAGATGCTCCGGTGTCCAATATCCAAAAGTCAGTTGGTGAATGAGAACATTTATCTGAAAGATTAGCCATGACTTCACTATGAGTAGATTAAGCAAGAATACCTGCAAAGTTTGCAGCTCCATTGGAGATGTTGTTTGTGCCAGCACATGGTGATCCACTGTGGAAACTTCCAAGCAAGTTCAGCAACTGAGTTTGTTGTTCTTTAGTCAAGGTGAAATTGCCATCAACTCTCAAAGTACCAGGGTTATCAAGATGATTGTCCAATTCTTAATTGGGTCCTCCATGGACAACTGCAACAAATGTTGTATTCTTCCCTTTTGTAAACTTAAAATTTTGTGGAAAACCATGGAGTCTGTAGCATTTATCCTTGGTATGTCCAGTCTTCTTGCAGTAATCAAAAAATATTTGAATGCTTGAAGAACTGCCTCTATGAAATTGTTGATTGGACTTGTTTCCTACAGTGTTATTGTATTGACTGTCCTGAACTGATTGCTTCCATGTGCACTTAAAGTTGTACTGTCTGTGGCTAAGTAGTTGTGTGGTTTAACTTCTCATTGTTTCTCTTCCTGAATTATAATAGAAAAAACTTGGGCAATAGTAGGAAGATGGTTCATCATCAGTAAGCTTCCCTACACTACTGTGTATACCTCATTTAGGCCCATCAAAAACTTGATAAGTCTTTTGTCCTATTCATCTTTGTGTATAGCAATTTTGGCACCACAAATACATACACAATTGCATTGATTGTTGTTATCTAAAGTGCCTAGTTCTTCCCACAATCGCTTCATTTTAGTATAGTAAGGAGTTATGTCCATGGATCCTTGACTTAGGTCACTAAGCTCCTTTTGAAGTTGATACAATTTAGCACCATTAGTTTGATCATACTTGTCCTCCAATTCCTGCCAGAGTTCAGCAGCATTATTGACATATTGCAAGCTTTCAACAATGTCTCTTGAGAGAGTGTAGTATCCAGGAAGTGACCATGTCGTCACATCGTTCCCATTGATTGAGAAGAGGATCATCTGGAGCTGGCTTTTTGTATTTGCCATTGACAAAACCCACTTTGTTCTTCACAGACAAAGTCCGCAACATACCACGCTGCCATGACCTATATCCACTTCCATCGAAGGTACCAGGAGTAATTCTGGAACCATCACTCTCTGAGGGGTGCATATACAGTGGGTTAGTCGAATCGGTAGTTTCCTTCTCTTGTGTCATAGTAGTATTGATAAGAATCGATTAACAATCGATCGAAAAAAGAAAATTGAGATGAAGCTCAATAGAAAACGATGTGAACTGGTGAGTGAAATGCAGGTAAAAACGCAAAGAAAACAAAAATGTAAAATTGCGGAAGAAATTTCATAAAAGAAAAGAATGAATGCTTCGAAGATCGATGAAATGGAGGAACGTTGCTCTGATACAGTAAAGATATGGCATCTGGGCCTAACTCAACCCCAAAAGCTAGCTCATGAGGGGAGGTTTGTCCAAGTCCATAAAAGGAGACCAAATTCTCATCCTTCTACCGATGTGGGACTTCATAGCACTCTCCCGCATTCCCAGAACTTAACTGGAGCGTGAACACTTCTAAATGGGGGCCCAACATTGGTGAACAACAAATTGGAATGGGCCTTGCTCTGATACCATGTCAAAAACTCAAGCTTAGACCTCCATTGATGAACAAAGATGAGCTCCCATTAAAACTTGAGCGAAAAGAAAATAACGATGAAGATGAAAAGAGAGAAAATATCTTATCTGTATTGTTAAAAGTTGGTTTTACAACTGTGTGGGCCAGCACATATTTATACAAAAACATAACTAACTAAACCAATTCCTTAATCATGTACAACTATCAATGCTAACCACTAACTCTATCTAACTCTAACTACTTTAATTAATTCAGTCATTCTCAACACCAACCATGGAAGAATTTTTCAAACAACTGCAAATTTCACATTTTCAATTATGTTCATTCTATTAATTTATACTTGAGTCCATGTCATTGTAGTTTCACCATTGTCCACTGTGATAAATTTGGTAGAAATGGTTGAATAATGGTATTAAAAGTTGGATTGTGATTAGGATGGGTATTCAATTTTTGATTTGATTCTTCAATTTTTGGTTTATAAAAGTGTGCTCCGATATGCTTTTCTCTTTTTCTATTTTGAAGATTTAAATATGACTTCTACCATTTTGCAGTCCATCTATTCCTCATGTTTTTAATTATAAAAGTAGATATTTTAACTTTGAATATTTGCATTATAAAGTTATAAGAACTTGAAATTATGAACTTCGATCTTCCTGTTCGACGAGACCTATGTTTCACTATTTTCATTTTCTAGGTCATGCCTTGTGTGAGGGGTCTGCTCAGTAAACGTACAAAGTAGACCACAGTTTGACTGACCCTCTTCTTCCCATTCGGGATAGGTTGACCCAGAAGTACAGTAAGAAAGAATGGAACCACAGGAGTCGTCTTTGTCCAATTATGAATTGCAAACGACTGACTTTGAAAGTGGAACACGAACTTATTTCCGCTATTTTGGATTCTTATTGAGCGTAACAAAATCGAGGTTGATGATAAAGCTAGTGAAGTTTCCATGACGTTCGACCTTTGTGTTACATATATTTATACCTTTGCATTTAAAAGACAAACATGTATGAAATACTCATCATTATGACAGTTTTATGTCAATAACTTTAATTTATTACTCAATTAGAAATGCCAGCAACTCCATCACCAACTTCGACTCCACCAGCCTCAATTCAAGGACCTGAGAAACACCTGAAATGCCATTAAAAAAAGGACCTCAATAGATGGATCTCATGGGGCATATGTTAAAAGTTGTACAACATCAACCTTATTTTCTAGTTTGAATAAGTCAGCAGAGAGCTATATTTTAGCTTTTAGTTGGTACTTCGTTATTTTTAATTCGTTATAGCTTTTCCCTGTTTTGTAGAATTGCAGATTGTGTTCCTAAAGTTTAAGAGAACTTGTTTAGTGGAATTCCAATAGTGGTCTAGTGGGAATATGATTCCACAATATGTAAGCCTACTTAAGGCTACAAAGCGTATTGAATAAAAATATTCAACCACTTCTCTGCAAGAAAACACGTTTCTCTTCTAGTCTTGTTTCTTTTCTATTCTTCTTGTTATTTCCTCTTTCAACTATTGGCTTCTCTATTCAGTAAGGTATTCATCATTTGGTATCAGAGCTATGTTTAAAGGAGAGAAAGAGAAGTCACACATAACATATATACTAGTTGTTTTGTTCTGTTGCGATGACTGATTTACAAGCAATAGGTGGAGTTAAGAAACTCAACCATCAGAATAACAAAACATGGATGACATGTATGACTTCCTACATGGAAGGTCAAGATCTTTGGGAGGTCGTTAATGGAAATGAAGTCAAACCAGGGGAAGAAGAACCAAATGGCACATTGATAAAATGGAAGATTAAAGCAGGAAAAACATTATTTGCTCTCAAGACCACCATCGAAGAAGACGTGTTGGAACATATACGTGATGCTGGAACACCAAAAGAAGCTTGGGACACACTGGTTGCACTCTTTTCAAAGAAGAAAAACACACGACTACAACTTTTTGAAAGTGAGTTATTGTCGATAGCTCAAAATTATATGAGCATTGCGCAATACTTACACAAAGTGAAGTCGATATGTCGTGAAATTTCAAAATTGGAACCAACAACTCCAATCAGGGAAACTAGGATGAAAAGAATAATCATTCATGGTTTGAGATCTGAGTACAGAAACTTTGTTACTGCAATACTGGGATGGAAAATTCAACCATCACTTGTTGAGTTGGAGAATATGTTTGTTGGCCAAGAAGCCATGGCTAAGCAAATGGGCGGTGTTTCACAAAAAGGTGAGGAGGAAGCACTTTATATCAACAAAAGCAGAGGGAACTCCAAACAGTACAATGTATGTGGGTCAAAAAGAAGTGATAATAAGGAAAATAATCATCAAGGAAAGAGGAATTATCATCCAGGGGGAGCTTCAAAGAACTATTGGGGGGAAAATAAGAGGTTTGAAGGGAAGTGTCATCATTGAGGAAAGAAGGGCCATAAAGCCAAGGCTTGCTGGTTCAATAAAAGAGCTGTTGAGAGCAACGTTGCAGCCATTTCCAGTCCAAAGGAAAAGAGTGAAAATGATTGGGATGTTGAAGCATTCTTTGTTGTAGAACAAGATGAGTTAACTCTTACAGTAACAACCTCTAAACAAATTGACTATCAGAATGACTAGATTGTTGACTCAAGGTGTTCAAACCATATGACTAGTAACAAAGAGAAGTTGCAATATCTAACCAAGTACAAGGGAAATCGTGAGGTGGTGACAGATGACGATACAAAATTATCAATAGATCATACCGGCAAGATTGTAGTGACTCCAAATAGTAGTGTTGATCTAATATTGCTTCAAAATGTTTATCATGTCCAGGTATGAAGAAAAATCTTATTTCAGTAGCACAATTAATATCTCTGGGTCATTTTATTATGTTTGGTCCGCAATATGTAAGGATAGATCATGATCTTAAGACTAAAGAAGAGCCAATAATGAAGGGACAAAGACTGAATTCTGTCTATGTAATGTCGGCAGGAATCACATATATAGATAGGACAAGGAAGAATGAAACTGCAGATTTATGACACATGCGATTGAGTAACGTTAGCTACTCTAAACTTAGTGTCATGATGGAAAAGTCAATGTTGAAGGGTCTTCCAAAATTTTCCTTACAGATGTAATATATATGGGCTGTCAGTATGGTAAAGCACATCAGTTGTCGTATGAGAAGTCAAAATATAAATCCAAGGAACCAATAGAGTTAATTCACTCTGATGTATTTGGACCTGTCATATGACTGGTGACAAACAAAAGTTGCAAAATCTAACCAAGTACAAGTGAAGTCGTGAGGTGGTGACAACCGACGATATAAAATTATTGATAGCTCATATCGACAAGGTTGTAGTGACTCCAAATAGTAGTTCTGATCCGATGTTGCTTCAAAATGTTTATCATGTCCCAGATATGAAGAAAAATCTTCTTTCAGTAGCACAATTAACATCTCTGGGTCATTTTATTCTGTTTGGTCCTCAAGATGTAAGGATATATCATGATCTTGAGATTAAAGAAGAGCCAATAATGAAGGGACAAAGACTTAATTATGTCTATGTAATGTCGGTAGAAACCACATTTATAGACAGGACAAGGAAGAACGAAATTGCAGACTTATGGCACATGCGATTGAGTCACGTTAGCTACTTTAAACTTAGTGTCATGATGGAAAAGTCAATGTTGAAGGGTCTTCCAAAACTTTCTATAAGGACAAATGTAATATGTGTGGTTGTCAATATGGTAAAGCACATCAGTTGTCGTATGAGGAGTCAAAATATAAAGCCAAGGAACCATTAGAGTTAATTCACTCTGATGTATTTGGACTTGTCAAGCAACTTTCTGTTGGTGGGATGAAATATATGTTAACCTTCATTGATGATTTTTCCTGGTATATGTGGATTTATATTTTAAAGGAAAAGTCTAATACATTTTCAAAATTCAAAGAAGGGAAAAGGGTCAAATATGTCCATAAACTATTCGAAAACGTCTAGATATACCCCCCGTTTAAAGTTTGGGTCACTCGTGCCCTCGCCGTCCAACTTTTTGCTTAGATATGCCCTTATGGGCGTTAGTTGGTCTGCTGAAAATATCTAGCTCATTTTACATTTATTTAAATGCCAAATGAAATTGTCACGTCATTTTTACATTACCACATTGCATTTTTATATTAAAAGGGAAAGGGGTCAATTAATCCCCTAATCCGGTCCATAAATCAATCCTTCTTTTAAATAACCCGTATCATATCCCTTCTTCATTACCATCAAAATCGCAGATTTCATTTCAAAGCTAGGGTTCTTGAGAGCCCTCCCCCCATCGATTTCATTTTTAGTAGCTCGCACCACAATAAAAGAGTATTCTAGTCATCTTCCACCATTCAAGTTTTAACAAAAATTAAAGAGAAGAATTCAAAAATCACCTTTTTATTTCCCAACTATTCATCTGTGATAAGAAAGTTATAAATTGGTAGAAATCACAACAAAAGAGGTTCCATGAGTTCTCGAAGTTGGCTCTATGTTAAAAACCTTCTGATTAAGGCATTTTACCTTTTAGCAGATGGACTTAGAGCGTTTTCCATTGCAAGGAAAAAAAAAAATCCAAAAACTCAAGGATCAAGCATTGGTATTCCTACCCCACTCCTTGCAAATGGCTGGATTTGGTATTCTCTCACAATTCAAGATCTATGTAAAGTACCCTACAAATCTAGCATAGGCAAAATATCTAAGGACGCCTTGTTCTTGAATTCATCTAACTTACCGCTAAGATCACTACTAGCATAATTCAGAAATGCCATGCGTACAAATACAATAAGGCAGCAATCAAAAGAAAATCCAAGTAACAATGCTTGTTATAGATAACTGAAGATACTAGAATACTCTTTTATGGTCGTGCGAGCTTCTCAAAATGACATCGATAGGGGGAGGGCTCTCAAAAACTCTAGCTTTGAAATGAAATCTGTGATTTTGATAGTAATAAATAAGGCATATGATACGGATCGGATATGGGCTATTTAAAAGAGAAGGTTGATTTATGGATCAGATTAGGGGATTAATTGACCCTTTTCCCTTTTAATATAAAAATGTCATGTGGTAATGTAAAAATGACGTGGCAATTTCATTTGGCATTTAAATAAATGTAAAATGAGCTGGATATTTCCAGCAGACCAACTAACGCCCGGGAATATTTGACCCTTTACCCTTCAAAGAATTCAAAAAGGTTACTGAAGCAGAAGTTGGCAAGAAAATTATTTGCTTGCGAACTGACAATGGCGGGGAATACACCTCATATGAATTCTCTGAATTCCTTCGAAAGTATCAAATACATCGTCAGCTCACATGTCCAAATACGCCACAACAAAATGGCGTAGCAGAAAGAAAGAATAGACACCTAGCAGAAATTTGTTGGAGCTTGCTTCACGTGAAAAATATTCTCAGACAATTTTGGGCGGAAGCTATGAAAGTTGCAGCTTTTGTGATCAATAGACTTCCTCAATAAAGGTTAAGTTTTCTTTCACCTTTTGAGAAGGTATGTAATATGAAACCTTCAGTTAGCTATTTTTGTGTTTTCGGATGTGTATGCTATGTATTTGTACCTAATCATTTACGTAGAAAGATGGACAAAAAAGTTGTTAGGTGTATCTTTGTAGTGTATGACAGTCAGCGAAAAGGGTGACGATGTTGTGACCCAAGCACGGGAAAGTGCTACACTTCTCAGAATGTGATATTTGATGAAGCTTCTTCATGGTGGTCTTCAAATAAGGAGATGCTGCCAGATTCAAATGTTCTCAAAGATGTATTGGACTCGTCTCATGTCCAATTGAGTCTAGATGAAGCTGAAGATGAAGCTAACGAAGATATTGTTGACGAAGGCGTGGCTCAAAATCCTTGGCAAACTGGTGTGTACCAACAATCAAGTGGAGCAAACACACCCCCGTCTCTTAGAAGATCATCAAGGATAAGAAAGCTTAATCCTAAGTATGCCAATGCTGCCATAGTAGAAGAAGAAAATGAAAAAGAACCAGAGAATTTTGAGGAAGCATTTTAAAATCCGAACTGGATTAAAGCTATGGAGGAGGAAATTGCTACGCTAGAACTGAATCAAACTTGGGAGCTTGTGGTAAAGCCAAGAGGTGTCAAACTTATTTCCAGTACATGGATTTACAAGATAAAATGTCACACAAATGGGTCGATTGAAAGGCTCAAAGCTCGTCGTGTAGCTCGAGCTTTTCTCAGCAATATGGACTAGATTATGATGAAACATTTAGTCCAGTGGCTAAGATTACTACAGTCCGGATCATACTTGCACTTACATCCAGTAAAAATTGGAACCTATGACAGATGGACGTAAAGAATGCATTTTTGCACGGAGAGTTAGATCGGGAGATCTACATATGTCAACCAATAGGCTTTCAGAGTCAAGATCATCCCGAGTATGTATGTAAGCTTCGAAAAGCGCTATATAGGTTAAAGCAAGCACCAAGGGCATGGTATGGTAAGATTTCTGAATTTCTTACTCATAGTTGTTATTCTGTAGCATCGGCAGATTCCAGATTATTTGTGAAAGTTGTTGGAAGGAAACTAGCTATTGTGTTAGTATATGTGGATGATTCAATCCTAACAGGAGATTGTGAAGAAGAAATTCTTCTAACAAAGAAGAATTTGTCAGTTCGCTTCCAGATGAAGGAACTTGGACAAATCAACCATTTTCTTGGCTTGGAGGTTGATTGTAATGAAGAAGGAATTTGTTTGCATCAAAAGAAATATTCTGAAGATCTGTTGAAGAAGTTTGGAATGTTTAATTGCAAACCAATATCAACACCATTGGAGCCAAATGCTAAAATGTGTGTGCATGAAGGAAAAGACTTAGGAGATATGACAATGTATCGACAATTGGTAGGTAGTCTGATTTATTTAACTCAGACTCGACCTGGTGTTTCTTTTGCAATTGGTGTGATGAGTCGCTACATGCACAATCCAAAGAAGCATCATATGGAGGTTGTTCGGCGAATACTAACATATGTGAAAAGTACAATTGATTATGGTCTTTTGTACAAGAAAGGTGAATAATGCAAGTTGGTCGGATATTGTGACTCTGACTATGCAGGGGATTATGATAATCGTCGTTCAACTACTGGCTATGTGTTTAAGCTCGGAGATGGAGCAATTTCTTGGTGTAGCAAAAGGCAACCAACTCTGTCGCTATCAACAACAGAAGCAGAGCATAGGGTAGTAGCAGTTGCAGCTCAAGAAAGTACATGGCTTATGCAGTTGATGAAGGATTTACACCAACCTGTTGGCTACTCAGTTACCTTGTACTGTGACAATCAGTTATCGATTTGCTTGGCTAAAAATCATGTTTTTCATGCTAGGATTTTATGGATTCAACCTCCGACGCCAATTTAATTACCTATAAAATATCATATTTACAAAAAAAAAAAGTAAAAAAAAATAGACTTTAGGAATCTCTTCAAGTTTCATATATTTGTGATAATAATGGCTAGCATTTATTGCTTTAATTATGTCTTCTTTTTATTTTATCTCCTTTAGTAGTATTACTTTTTTTTACAATGCATGCACCGAGGTTCAAGACTAAAAAAACCGTCTAATTATATTGAAACCTTTCACATTATAATGATTATATTTAAGATTCTTATGAAATAATAAATAAAAGTTCGATTCTTTAGCAGCAAAGAATTGAGACCATTTCATCGGATACTAAATTCAAAAATTGAACTTTAAAAAAACAATTCTAAAATTGACCTAAAGAACCGAATTAGTTCTATCTGATTTGATTTTTTAATATTTATGTCCACCTCTAATTGTGACACATTACTAATTGTAATTTTTTAGCATAATTTTGATAAAGCCCATAATCGGCACAAGGGCTAAAGGTCAGAGTAGAGGGTTTGGGAACCAAAAAAAAAATAATCATAGTAGAGGGTTTGGGAGATTTGTGTATTCTTGGTTGAATTTAAAGAGGGATAAAACACGAAAAAGTTGAGAAGTGACCATGATTTAAGTTTAGTGCCGGAGGTCAAGGATTTACATATATTATTACTATATAAGAAGAGTGAATAAAATTCACTCTTCTTTCGACACGTGGCATCATGGCCCACCTACTTTTATTTTATTTAAATCATATATCATATATATTTTACTATATAAGAAGAGTGAATAGAATTCACTCTTCTTTCGACACGTGGCACCATGGCCCACCTACTTTTATATTTGGTTTTTGAAGATGGCCCACCTATCACAAAGATGGCCCACCTACTTTTATACACTCCTCTTTCATTATATTTTAATTTTTTCCTTTTTAAATAGTACTAAAAAATAAATTTAAAATATTACAAATTCGATTAACTCTCAAAATTTTACGCGAATTCTATAATTAAGACGAAGGGAATAACATATATTATTTGAAAAATTACATTAAGAATACCATAAACCACAATAGTTAACAACTTACAATATTTGAAAAACATATTAACTCTCAAAATTTCACATGTGTCACATAAATTGGGACAAATGGAGTAACATATATTATTTGAAATTACGTTAAGAATATTATTAATCACAACTTAAAGTATTTAAAAATACATAACATATATTATTTGAAAATAATGTAAAAAATATTATAAATCATAATAATTAACAATTTAACGGATATTGTGCCCGTGCTTCCATTTAGAAGTGAGAATGTTTAGGAGCTTAGGGTTAGTCAGTCAATTGACCGATTTGCCCTTCTTCTTCAACTTCCTCTATTTACTACAAAAATAGTACTAAAAATCAATTTAAAATATTAAAAATTTGGTTAATTCTTGAAATTTCACATGTATTGCATAATATAATAGAGTGAGTAACATATATTATTTGAAAATTATATAAATAGTACTAAAATATAGTTTAAAATAGTACTAAGAATTTGATTAACTCTCGAAATTTCATATGTACTGCGTAATTGAGATTGAGTGAGAAATATATATTATTTGAAAAATAGAATAAATATGTGATATTATTAGAAAGAGCTTTAATATATATTTTAAAAATTATTTTGTCTTCCGTATATGATTTTCTGCATATATGTGGAGTTTTAAAGTTTTTAACATTTTAATATAGAAATATGATTATTTGAAAATTTTAGTACTTTCTTCATTTAAATTTTTCCTTGTTTTTCTTTTAATTTGTTCTAGATTTAAAAATTACATAAAAAGTACTTAAAATCACAATGTAATAATATAAGATATTAAAAAAACATAATTAAAAATCATAAAAGAAATTTTATTGACTCTTTAATTCCATATTGAAACATAAGAAGTTTGTTTGAAAATAACATAAAAAGTAACGTAAATTAAAGTAAAATAACAACTAAAAATATTGAAGAATCATATAAGAAATTTAGTTGACTTTCGTAAAAGTACCTACGTCACATAAAATGGAACAGAAAGAGTAATATATATTATTTGAAAATGATATAAGAAGTGCTATAAATCACAATAAATTAACAACTTCAAAATATATTTAACAAAATCACATACAAAAAATTATATAACTCTCCAAATTTCATCGGTGTCACATAAATTGAAACAAAGAACTACTCCCAATTTATGTTATTTACTTTCCTTTTTAGTCAGTCCCAAAAGAATGTCACATTTCTATATTAAGTAACAATTTGATTATAAAATATTTATTTTACCCTTAATGAAATAATTTACAGTCATACAAATTTATATCATTCATTTTGGACCACAAATTTTAAAAGTCTTCATTTCTTTTTTAAACTCCGTGGCGAATCAAACTACCTCACATAAAATGAGACGGAGGAAGTAATATACATTGGGCCCGCGCTGGCGCGGGAACCTAATAACTAGTATACCATAAATAACATAGAGAGAGCGCACTCGCAAATTATACTTGAGATAGAGTGGGTAGATATATTGCTTAAAAACTCTGTCTGTATTTAAAAAAATCACAACAATTTAATAAACATTTATTTATAGATTTTAAATATTTTTCACTTTATTTAAATTTATGAAGCTGGAGTTGAAAATGAAATTAGAAAGGAGCACTAAATTAACTCCAAATTAAATTTGAAATTTTATAAGTAAATAATTACTGATTTAAAAATAAAATAAAATTTAGAGAATCTTTTGCGTTCCAAAATCAGTTCGAAAAGCCTCTTTTATCTTTTTGTCTTTTTGGGAAATGAACGTTTTAGTGCAGTAATCCAGATAGGGCACAAGCCAACCACGCGCTCCTGTCCGCAAATCAATCCTATCCATCCACTTGTAAATCCATCCAACGGTCCTCATCTTCTGCAGTCTACTCACCTTTTACTATATCTATAGGTTTCATCTTTCCCTTTCCTATCATCAGTCATCACCACACACTGAATTTTCTCCCCTGTTTTTTCATAACCCTAATTTTCCACCATGCTTCTCAAGGTAGCACCCGCTTTTGCTCTATTGAACACCCCTAAGTCTACCCATGGGGAAAATCCGTTAACCCACAAGAGTTTTTCTGCTAAAAGTGGAAACGGGTTGATAATTTGTGCTTCAAAGGGGACAAACCACAAGCCCTTAACAGGGGTTGTGTTTGAGCCATTTGAGGAGTTGAAGAAAGAGTTTATGCTTGTACCCTCTCTTCCACAAGCCTCTCTTGCCCGCCAGAAGTACTGCGATGAATCTGAAGCTGCTATTAATGAACAGATCAAGTGGGTTTTTAAAAAATATTTTGTTATTGTTTTGTGTTTCAAATCTGTTGGTATTAATGAGTTATTTTTGGATTTTCAGTGTGGAATACAATGTTTCTTACGTTTATCATGCTATGTATGCCTATTTTGATCGAGACAACGTTGCTCTTAAGGGTCTAGCCAAGTAATTTTTCAGAAGCCCCTTTTGAAATTTTGATTTTCTTTGTCTGTGGATTTGTTAGATGGGTTTTCATTCTTGCTTTCTTGACTGTAGTTTTTTCAAGGAATCTAGTGCAGAGGAAAGAGAGCACGCTGAGAAATTTATGGAATACCAGGTGTTTGACAATTCGGTGTTATAATGAATCTCCAGCTGGGGTTATGGTTTCTAATATTTTGTGTTTCTTCTTGTTTGTAGAACAAGCGTGGTGGGAAGGTGAAGCTGCAGTCTATCTTGATGCCACTGACTGAGTTTGATCATGTTGAGAAGGGGGATGCATTGTATGGTAAGTTTAGCTCCATTTCTCCTAGCTGTAAATTCTAATTTGGGAGTTCCTGTATAGACTTAAATCTACTATGTACAAATGGTTGTCTCTGTCAACTTGGAAATGGATTACTTGTGGACAATTAAATGGAGTTAGGTGCATATTTATTGTGATGGTTTTGTACACTTAGATCCCTATTAACTACTGTATATTTGTGTTGCTTCTCGTGAATTTAGAAGGGCTAGTAAACACTACATTTGTTATATTCCGTTCAACCACTGATTTTAATTTACTCTGTAGCAATGGAGCTTGCGCTGTCTCTGGAGAAGTTGACAAATGAAAAACTTCTAAACGTGCATGCTGTGAGTTCCTCTATCATGCTTGTTGGTTATATTAACGTACATCTCGATATATTTTGATGTGGTGACAATAATCAGATTTTTATGATGAAAACTTCAATTTTTTGAAGTGCGACAGCACATATGCGTATTTATAGAATCTGCCACTTTTAGGTTTTTTATTGATGTTGATAAACTCTAAAAAAAAAACAGGTAGCCTCACGAAACAATGATGTGCAATTGGCTGATTTTGTTGAAAGCGAGTTCTTGGGAGAACAGGTGATGGTTTACTACTGCGTAGAAATACCGCTAATATGTTTGAAAGATTTTGAGATTAAATCCTAAATCCATTTGTAGCTATACAAAATTAAGATGTTGCTTTACTAATTTTAGGTGGAAGCTATCAAGAAGATCTCAGAATATGTTGCTCAGCTGAGAAGAGTTGGCCAAGGACATGGTAAGATTGTGCATCCCATTTAAAGATTGTATTTGTTCATTGCGAAATAGCGTCATATATCTATATTGTGTTCCCCCAAACTTGTTATCTTAACATTTCCTCTTTGGTTGTGATTTAGGTGTTTGGCATTTTGATCAGATGCTGCTGCAAGAGGGAGCTGCTGCTTGAAGGAGAAGATAGAATTTGGCTTACCATTTGTATTTTGCCATTGTTGTCTGGCTAAATTTGGATATTAGAATGGGGTATCTGAGATTATGAGCCTCTTCTTATTAATAGACTATTAGCAAGTGCATACAAGAGTGACCTAGTAGATCGATCTAGTCAGTTGTGCTATTGTTTACTTACTAGTTTTCAAGTACTTTGGAGTTTGATTACTTACCATCTATCTATGCTATCATGCTTGCCACTTGTAGCTTGAACCTGAAGTGCACCAG